GGCGCGGGGCGGGGCGGCCGCGGCGCTCCCCCCGCACGGGCGCTCTCGGCCAGGACGAGGACGGCGCGCCTTCCGGCCCCTCCCCGCGCGGAAGCGGACGCGGAAGGGCGGCGGCCGCTTCCCGTTCCGGCCGCGTTGCCCTTGCGCTGGGGAAGATGGCGGCGCTGGCCCTGCTGCTGCGGCCCCGCGGCGGCGCCGCCGCTGCCACCAGGGGTGAGGCCGCGGCCCCCGCGCCCGCTTCCCTTCCCCTGCCCCTGCCCCGGCCGGGTCCCTCGCGCGCCTCACGCCGCCTCTCTCCGCAGCTCTGCTCCTCGCCAGGACGCCGCTCCGCCCGCCCGCGCCGCTCGCCGCGCTCGCCGCCGCCCGCCAGAGCCACGGCGCCCCGCGGCCCGCGCACGGTACGTCCCGCGCCGCCCCGCGGGGCCTCCCCGGGCCGGGCTGCCCTGTCGCCGCAGCAGCCGCCGCTTTCCCCCGGAAACTGCCGCAGGGCCGGCCTGAGGGGCAGCAGGCCCCGCAGAGATGGCTCTGTGCGCCCCGGGGTGACCGTACTGTGAGCGGGCGGCCCCGTCTCCCATCCCCAAACCCCCCGAGACCGCTGGCCCCGCGGTGCTCAGCCGAGTCTGACCTGCAGGCAGAGCCGGTGCTTGGCGCTGCGTTCTCCCCTCCCGAGACCGTGCGGAGGTGGTGGGAGATACTGTGCCCACCACATGCCTGCCCCGCCGCGGGAAGCTTCCTGAGAAAAGGTCAAGCGTGTTTTGCCGCTGTCGCGCTGTGACTGAGAGGTTGAAGGTACGAGGAAGGGCTCGTAAACAAGCTGCTGCCTGCCTGCACCAAAGCCATTTCCGGCCTTTTTTTTATCTGGGTTGGATAATAAACATCGGTGAAAGGGAGTCACGGGCTGCGTTAACCAAGCTTTCCACAGGCAGCTTTCCACAGTGCGGTCTTCCAGTGCCCAGAAGCCAAAGAGAATCCAGTTCCCAAAGGTTAAAGTGGTAGCAGGTTTTACACATGTGCACCACATGTGCACAGGTTATTAGTCCCAGCCGCAGTCTCATGTTTCACTGCAGATCCTTACTGTTTCTTGCGGTCGCTTTATGAAACCTCTGTCTTTTTGTAGTGAGGAAGAAATGCTTCATGGCACTTAAAGCTTCTCTGGCTTTACTTGTACGTCGCTGGATGTCGTTTGGGTGTCAGGAAGGCACTTTGCGGGGGCGTGTAATGGCACCAGCCTGCCTGGGCTGGTGTTGATATTCAGGTTAAAAATGTCGCTTAGAGCATCATGGTCTTGGGTTCCTTTTGGGAACCTTCACCTGTAATACCTGCAGGCTTGCCTTAAGCACAGGTTGATGGCAAAGCTTGTGAACTACATGTCGGGCCATCTGTTCTGTAGACTGTACGTGCACACATCTGAGGACCTGAAATGCCTGTGCCTTCAGACTACTCCTGGGCCATTCGTTCAGCACTCGTGACCCGATGGTCTCGAAAGGAGAATTCGCTATTTGCAGTTAAAAGCAACCATGCTGGTGGCTGGGCGGAAGGGTGCAGCCAGTCCCTGTAGAGGAGCCATTCGCCGGCATCTCCAGCCGCGCTGATGCGGAGTGGAGGCCCTGCGAGCCCCACAGGAGCCCTGCATGTTGGCAACACTCTGGAAGTTTGCTCCAGACGAGGAAAGGTTTTGGTTTTAGAGATTTCCGTTTCCAGAGAGGAACGGTTTCCGTGGTGCTGCTTGACCGTGTTCTTGAACTGTGCGCTGTCGACTTAGGGTTGCTGTTTCTTTTGACTTTGCCTGTTGAGGTTTTCTAGACTAGACCTTTCCTTGAAGGTTTCCTAACCACCTCTTTCTCAACAGCAGCCGAGAGAGCACTACTTGAAATGACCCTTTGAGAACCTTTGTAACGTAGCTCCAGAGTCTACAGTGGTAATTCCAGGGCACCTGCGTTTTGCTCAGCTAAAAGCCTGGCAGTCAGGTTTGGGAGAGCGGCGCCATGGGGATGAGCATGAGGCAGCTGCTGTGGAGACCGTGGCACCGAGAGCAGGACGTGGTGCTGAAACGTGCTGTGTCCTTGCAGGCGCTTCCAAGGCTGCGTCCTTGCACTGGGCGGGCGAGCGAGCCGTCAGCGTCCTGCTGCTGGGCCTCCTTCCGGCAGCCTATCTGTGTCCGGGACCGGCTGTGGACTATTCCCTGGCTGCAGCCCTCACTCTGCATGGCCACTGGTAAGCACAGCAGGGCCCTCAAAATCCACGAGTGTGTCTCACAGCCAGGACGGGCCTGAGCCTTAGGCTAAAGCCCTGCATTAGCTCCCTGTAGGACAGTTAAGTCTCATATATTGCCTCATTACTGTGAACCCCCTGGCAGGCGGCACCTTCAGAGGCCTCACTGGGAAAGTTCTGGTTACTGTTATCACCTTGAACAAGGCCAGCTTTACTTTGGGTCTCTGTCACACTGCTCCTCCGGCAGCGGGCACAAAAGATACTGCTGTTAAACTGAAATGGTGACTGCACCACCCTGTCGTGTTCTCCAGTCTGTATCCGGTGCCTTGCGCAGGGAATACAGTATCTTGCATTAGGAGCCTTCTGTGCTAATGACTGCTTTTTTGCTGTTGTTTTTCTCTCCACGTTACGCCTTGACACATAACATCTGTGCATGCGTGTAGAGTCTTGTAATATTTCCCTCGTGGAGAAGCAGCGGTGTTCTGCGAATGGGCGAGAGGAGAACCAGAAAGAGTTGTCCAGAGTTCCTCTCTCTTGCTGGGCGACGTGTCCCTGCCACGGGCAAATGTCGCTCTGCTTTTGGGGAACAGGACTATCCCACTGTTGTAGCCACGTCCGTGTCTTTCTGGGGCAGGATAGATTGAATGTGGCAGAAAGAGTGCATTTCTGGGGTGACAGACCCCTGAGTATGCTCCGTGGTTGCTGCTGTTGCTGTTCTCTAATCTGAACATCCCTCCTGGCGCCTTTTGTGCTCGGGGCTGGCCCCAGCACCACACGCTGCTGCTCAAGCAAGAAGCGCGTTCCCTTTGGTTACTTTTCTTGTGTCTGTGGAAATCAGATTAGCTGCCCACTGTTTCTCGGAGGCACATTACTTGTTTGCAAGAGCTGTGCTCCACATCCTGTTTCCTCAGTAACATTAAGAAAACTCTGAGCTGACTCTTTTTAAAAACCGAAGTAGAATGAGTGCTGCAGTGACTTTTCTGAAATGCATTTGTCTGTCTTTTTTAGTGGCGCGTGGTTTTTCTGTTGGAAAGGGGAAGGGGGGTGAGAGAAATGATGTGTCTGAAGTAATCGACACGAGTAGCACGGAAGAGAATTGGTACCAGGGGAGAGTGCTCCCGTAAGCCAGAAGGATTGCAGCGAGGAGAGCTCTTCTCCGTTCTCAGCTTGTTCCCTTCTCTCTCTGTTACTCCGTAGGGGTCTCGGACAGGTTATAACTGACTACGTCCATGGAGAGATGCCCATTAAAGTGGCCAATACAGGTCTGTATGTGCTCTCAGCCGTGACCTTCGCCGGCCTCTGCTACTTTAACTACCACGATGTCGGTATCTGCAAGGCTGTGGCCATGCTGTGGAGTCTCTGAGGTGCGCCCAGGTCCCCGACGAACATGATTGTTCACCGCTGCCTCTGCTTTGTCCTGTTTGTGCTGAGATGTTGAATGCGGGAGAAATGACTAACAAGGGGTCCGTAGCATGTACGTACCACAAGAGCAAGCCCAGAGCTAGTCATGCAGAGCTCATCTTGTTTTGGTTTATTGCAACAGCAGTTAAAGTGTTGGAAGAGAAGGAGCTTTAAAGTGAATTCTGCCCAGGCAAGAACAAGTTGATTTAAATTTTAGTTTAAACGGGGAGGAAGCAGTTAATAACAGACTTACAAAGCTGATGGTAACTTGCCTTTTAACATCACCTTGATCTTTCCTTTCCCCTTCTTTTTCTAACATAACACTGGTTTGCTTTCTTATTATGTAAAGCACATTTGACTCGAGGAAAGTTGGACTGCTGTTCCAACACCACAACAGCTGAACTGTATGTAAGGCACTCCCTGTAGCTCTTTGGGCCCTGAGAATTGATGTGGAAAAGGGAATATTTTTTCTTAATCCATCCAATAAAGAATTTACAGAAACTGTGTGTGTGTGATTTGGAACCATTTTTTCCCTAGACTGGGGATGGTCAAAATGTTTGTCCTGCGTTTTCACTGTTTTATTTTTTTTGATCAAGCTCAGCGTTGCGATCAGTGTTCTATGAAAGGTTCTGTTGAACTGGGAACTTACAGAAATCTTACTACGAAAAGCTGTTCGAGCAGCAGACACTCTGGATTCTTTTACTGACTAACAGTAGCAAGTTAAAAATAAAAAAAAAATGGCTTTGGATGAAGAAGGAACAACATTTATTTATTTATTTATTTGAAGTCAGGGAATACATTTTAAGAAGATCCAAGTATGTCACTAGTTATAACTTTCATTTTGATTTAAGTTAAACTTCATAGTTTCATCCACTTCATCTTCACTTGACATTTTCTTTAAAATTAGTTTTCTCAGGCAGCCTTCTTTTTCAAAGGCCAGGAACATGCCTTGTTTTAGTGCATATTCGAACTTGAATGCTTGGCTGCTACAAGAAGTAAATGTCTTTTTGAAGAAAATGAAGTTGCTTTCTTGAGGAATGTCTGTGGGAACTTTTCCTTCCTGCGGAAGAAAATGGGAAGGGGTTACTGCCAACACAGAACTTCTGAAGTTTCATTTCAACCCCCCCATGTCTGCATGTTTAATTTTACATGCATATTATACATATTGACAGTATGGAAAGCCCATGTGAGATATTTACCTTAAATTGAACTATTGGTTTCCCAATTTCTTCTTCCTCGCAGCACATGTAATAATTCTTGTCCTGTATCTGAATGCTGAATGCAACAGGCATCCCTGCTGAAGGCGTGGTGGTTTTGAAACAGTGAATGTTGAAGTGCATTCCACTGCCTAAACACAAATTATTTGTCTGTTAGAGCTTGCAGAGAACGGGGGAGCTGCAGCAACTTAACCCGCGGTTCTGTATTTTACCGTTCCACGGACAACTGCTGTCTTGCCAGGCCACTTTTTCTGACCAAGCAGCTAGGACTTGTAGCTTGCGTGACCACTAGTAGCAGGTGTGTGACATTCTGCCAACACTCAGCAACTAAAAGCTTGGATTTGTAGGAACATGGGTGACTTACCAGTCGGTGTGGGATGGATGTTCAAGTCCTTCTGTGTGCATGCACAAAGTGAAAGGTGGATTTGTAAATAGTGATTGGTAAATCAGATCACATCTGTGATCTGCAAATAAATGTGGTCTATAAATATAGTCCTGAGTTAATTGCTGCTCCCCCCCAAAGAAAAATCACAAACAAAAACATAAATACAATGTTAACTATGGCTGTTTAGAAAAAAAAGAGAGCAAGCTTTTGGTGTTGCATTATGCTTGTTTAAACCTGTAACATAGAAATCTTTGCACCCGTTTCCTCTGGGGAGACCCCTGAACTGTCTGAAGTGCAGGGAACTCTTTAAGAAGAACTTGTAATTTTGGCTCCTGCTGCAGAAGTATTTCTGCTTTCTCATCTCTGCACACAGCAGGCAAAGTTTCAGCCGTTTTAGCTTAGCTCTATGCTTGACTTGGGGTAAGAGCAAGCTACAGCCGAAGTGTTAAGCCTTTACTGTCAGTCGTGCCCTTTAGGCTCAGAGCTTACGAAGAACAAAAACACCTCTGGAGAAAAAGGACATCACAGTTGTTACAGGAGGGAACAAAAAAATGGTGTACCACACTTCATCTCCTGATCTGTCACATTCTCAAACGCTGCCAGCTGCAGATCTGGTCGAAACACAAGCAACTGCCTATATTCATTTCGGAAGACTCGATGTTGGAAAATTTGTTCCTCTGCCAAGGCATCGCATTCCAGCCCTGAAGAAATATTAAGCACAGAAGATCAAATATTTGAGCTATAATTTCCCCTGCTCTTAGCAGATCACCACAGGCTTCCTTGTCCCATTAAAGATACAATTGCTTGGAAGCTCAATCTCAAACAAAACGGGGCCCGCTTCATCCTGCCCCTCTGCCTCCCACTAGCTTTTAGTGACCCGGTGGAGAGGTAAGGATTTTCCAGGACATGAGCAACTCGGAGAACGAGCAAGAGAGGCTACTGAATGCGTTAATGCAAGTCCAGTTGCCAAAACCCCTCTCTCTTGCCTAGCAATTGTACTGGCACCACGAGGTTGCCCCCTGTCCTGGGGGAAGCTACCACGCAATGCAGGAGGATAGAAGGCATCGTCAGCATCAGGTGAGCTGTAACTCGTCCGTCCCCGCCATCCAACAGTCAGAAACCTTCCTGGCCAAGCCATGCAAAGCACTTGTGTGTTGGTAAGGCTGAGCAGCTTAGTTCAGACCGTGACAAAGTGTCAGCTTACCATCATCATCTTCATTCCAATGAAGAATGAGGGAAGAAGGGGAAAAAAAGAAAAGGGAAAAAAAAATAAGTTTTGCCCTCACAGAAGACAGCATTTTCTAACTAGTTCTGTTCCAGGCACTTAGCTATTTGCAGTTGTCCCTGCCAGGTGCCACTAACCCTCCAGCTGAGCCGCTCTGTTTTAAAACTGAGTGCAACCCTAACCCTAAGTCAACAAGGCGATGAAGGCACCAGGCATTTGAAAACTTGAGGTGCCTCTACATGAAGAGACGAGCAAATGTCTTTGAGTTACTTACCGGTGAGCGGCTCAGTTCAAGTTAAGTCTATATTAATTTTGTCCTTGCTTTGAGGATTACTCAGATACTATGGGGGGGGGGAGGGAATGTTGCCACAAAAATGTATCTGCCAAACCAAGTACAGGATTGAATCACATAGGACCTTTTGCTATTCTAAGAGCAATTCAGACACGGTTTATCTCTTTCAGCAAGAGGTCATACGTACCTGCAAAATAGAGGCAGAAGTTTTCTCCAAGTTGCACTGCGCACACAGGAATAATATCCTCACAACTCATCTTCACTCTGCCAAAACACACGGAGAGGTTTCAGTGGTAAGAACAGCACGTCTTACCCTGCAAGGCCCGGGAGCTCTTGGGCTTCTTCTCTTCTAGCTGTACTGTACCGTGACAGGGCTGGCCTGTGTTGCTACATGTTGAGAAGCTACCTGTGTACATGATTTGTAGTCTGCCTACTCTAGTCGAGTCTTTTTCTGTTGCCGCTCATTATTATTTATAACAAGATACAGGGCTGCTGACTGCTTTTGGCTTTGCTTGCACCCTCAGCCTCCTGCAGCTAGCAGCCAGACAAGGGGCCTTTCGCCTCTTCATGCCCTAGCGCAGGGACTGAGAGCCGTTAATGCACAGAACAGGAGAACGGTGGTGGTCAGAGGCTTGCTGTACCCCTCCCAGGTCCCCGTAACTGCACCCATCTGTTTATGCTTACAGCAAAAATAATACATCTAAGTGCACTTTCTTACCGACTTCTTCTTTACAGCCTTACAGATTCTTCTCTGGGTGACTTTGATTGCTTTGATTGCTAAATAAGAGTAACTTCTTTTGAAGTCAAGTAGTTTGGGGCAACTGGGCTAGGGAAAAGAAATCCCACACACATCCAATTGGAAGGTTTCTGCACTGTCATACCAGTTCTTTCTGCCAGCTTACAACTCACGTGCAACAGCAGCCAGGAACTACACGTTTCCCGAGAAGAGCCTCTAAAAGCGGTAACGGTGTTGAGTGTTGCCCAAACTTCTCACAGCGGTACAGCGGTTGTTCAAATATTGCGATCACGACTTGAAGTGCTCTAGAATAGGAAGCGCTTCATTCAAACCTCCTAACCACTGTCAAAGCATTCTTTCCTGTGCAGTAGCTGCAGGAATAATGTTAACAACTGTGTCAAACCAGGGTAACCACAGGCTGGAACTGCCTTGTGAGGCTCTTTCTCACCACCTGGAAAAGACTTACTATAGGAAACGTAAATGAGCAACGTAAATAAGCAATTAAAGGCTGCTTTACTTGCTGTTTTTAAAAGAGCAAAGCAGATAAATGGGCACACACATCAACCCTGGGGATTAGGGTGGGTGAGTCACCGAGATTGTTCATTCTCCCCCTAGTCCAGCACTTGGAAGAAAATCTCTCTGAGCAAATTCTAGTCGCCACAGGCTCTACACAGCTCGTACACCTGGCGGGGAGGGCACAGCCGGAGCACAGCGGCGGGGCTGCGTCTCCTTCCACGCACAAGCAGCCAGCCCGGTGAGCGAGCGCCCAGCGGCAGTGCCGCTGCCTCTGCAGCTGGAGCGGGCTCGCCAAGCCAAGCCGAGTCCAAGATGGAGAGCAAGGCACATGGATTAGATTACATTAGAAAACGTGCCACTCCCAGCAGGACCACAGTTCCCTTGCTCTTGCCTAATCTCTATCAGGAATTTTTCCAGGCATACACTGCCCGATTTTTTTTTTTTTTTTTTAAGCAGAAAAACTTAAATGACCTCCCTGGCTCTTCGAGGAGAAAAGCTGTAAAAGGAGCCCCTATTTCCGAGCTGCTGCCCGGCCAGAGCTCCTGCGAGAGCCGCCCCCGCCGACTCGCACAGAAGCTCCCGGGCGCAGCGCCGGGTCCTACCTCGCTCCGGGGCTGCGGCGCCGAGGCGGCAGGAGCGGCCGCACCGTCCGACCCGCTGCGGGAGCGCGAGCGGGTGCAGCTGCCGGTCCCCGTCCCGGTCCCGGTCACCCGCCCGCCGCCGTCCCCGGCAGAAGGAGCCGCCCGCGCGGGAGCGCCGCAAATGCGATCTCGCGCCCACGACGGCGGCTCTTATACGGGCGTCACTTCCCGCTCCGCGGCGGGGATCGCAGAAGCCGCACGCGCGGCAAAGCTGAGGGCCGCGCGGCTGCAGCGAGCTCCGCACCTCCCCGCCCCGCGCGCCGCCCCGTCCCGTCCCGTCCCGTCCCGCGCGCTGCCCGCGCGCAGCAGCAGCCTCGCGGCGGCAGCGCCCGTGGGCTCCGCGCGGGAAGGCGCCACGGGGCGCGCGGCTCCGCGTCCCCGGACACGAGGCCGTGGACGGCGATAGCCGCCTGCTCGCGCGCGCGCCGCTGCGGGGCCGAGACGCGCGGGGCGCGAGCGCCCATTTTGCTGCGTAGCTGCGCGCCCTGCCTGCGCAGCGCGGCCCTGCGGGGGCCGAGCTCAGCAGCGTGCTGAGATGCGCAGACAGAAACAAAGCAAGCCCGCAAACCCGCTGCACAGGTGTTGCAGAAATGCATCTTCTCTCTTTACACTGATAACAACTTTTTCTTTTTTTTTTCCTCAAAATAATTACAGAAAACTGTGATTTGGCCGTTACTCTTTCTCGTGAGGCAAGATTACATTTGACTTAGTCACTAAAATACCCCCTCAGCAGAGTGAAACTCTCTCCTGCTAAAAACAAAGGAAAAATATTTAATAATTTTTTTTTTGGGTGGGGGGAGTTACTGCTCTCTGATACTAAGCACGTATATCTGTTTGCAGGCAGTCACGTCAAGTGAAATCAAACTACAGAGCAGTATTTTATCATCTCCTTTCGACTTCTTGTTTTCTTGCATGACATTTAGCACTTCTTTGTGGAGAGAGACCCAGATTTGACTTAAACATGTCCATCTAGAGGACTCCATATATACACAAAGCATAGGCTTTTGCTACTCCTCTTGCTACTTTATTGGAATGCTTCGTTCTTAGGGTTAAAAAAAAATCCCATCTAAGTGTTATGGGCTTCTGCTTCTGGTCACTGGTTCCTGTACATTTTCCTGATAGCTGTTTCACAACCAAGTTTTCCCCCTTGTGAGGCTGTAATGTCTGATCAAATTACCTCACGGTCTTCTTTTGACTGAACTCAACAACCGCAAGGTTCTACCCTCAAATGTTTCGCATCATCGCCAACATATTCACGTCTCTTTTCTTCACTCTGTCTGTTTTTCAGTATTCATTTTCTCCAAATTCGGGCAAGAGACCTTCAGGCATGATAGAGTCCCCCATTCTGCCGATGCTGTTGACAATTCTTTGTTGATATCTCGCTCCGTATAGCACTGCATTAAAATGTTTTAAGAATTTATATCGTAGCTATTATTTCTCTTTTCCCCTATTTTTTATCATGAGATCTAGATTTATTTTTAGCTCAGTGATAGGACTGCACTTGGCACCAAACGTTGAACAAATCCACCCCAACAGCACTGTGGCGTACTGACCATGGATGCTAGTGGCCACAGGGAATGTGTCAGAAAATAACTACAAGGAGGAACTCGTCTTTCTTTAGACTGAGATCCTAAAAATTCACTTAAACATTCAGCACTTTGCCTACAGGGTTTTTCTCTCTTGCTATTTCTATATTTGCGTTTTTAAAGAACTAGTTTCAACTCCTACATGAATGTCTTTTATTGCAAGTTTTCAGCTTTCATTTCTCCTGGAATTTTAGTATTTCCATTTTTTTTTTTTTTTTTAAGGAACTGGAACTACTTACTGGAGGGCTTACATGATTTTTAGACAAGGTCTTCACTCCTGCCATAGACTGGTACACCCATAAGATACTGAATGTGGTGAAACAATTCATACGTTTAATTCAGATGATTTATTAATAAAAATAGCTAAACACGTCGATGGTACTTAACATGCTATATTTATTAACATATTGCTTTCATATCTCTTAATGTTAGATAGAATTACTAATAACATTTTTTTTGTAGCCTATTTTGAGCTTTTCACAAACTGAGCTTTTTCATAAAGTGTATCGAATATTGGTCCTATTTTGGGGAAGTCTTTAGTTTTTGTTCTTTCAGCAGTTTCATTTCTTGTCCTGAGTTTTGGCTCTCAATGTACCATCAATTATACACAGTTAAGATCCTTTCCCTTAAAAAACGGGAATACACGAGAAGTCCCATAAAGTCCAACATAACTCTCTCTCTCGTGACAGTTTCCTTCACTGTACCTAATCAAGCTAAATTTAAGAAAGACTGAGCTTTATATGCTATTTAATATTTTTGACTGACAACATAAAGTGTAGTTCTGAAAGAGATCTCTTGAATCATTGCCTCCAAAGCTCTCCTTTCTCCTAGTCAGCCACCTCCTCATATATTGCGCGCTGGTTCCGCGCTGCGGGCAGCCCCCTCCGCGCTCTGCGAGCGCTGCGGCGCGGACGGGAACGGCGGCCGCTGCAGCGGGAGCGTCCGAGCGGGAAGTCTTGGGCAACCCGTCCCCGCCGCCACTTCTCCTTCGTCAGCCTCGCAGCCCGCGCGTGAGGCCGGGGAGACGCCGGCGCTCCCAGTCCGCCGCGGCTCCCGGCTCCCCCTCGCCGTCGCCAGCGGCCGCCAGGACCGTTAACGGCCGCCGCGGGCGCCAACCGTCGCGAGGACCGTTAACGGCCGCGGCGCGCGCGAGGCGCCGCGAGGCCCCGTTAGCGCTCGGCGCTCCCCACGCGCAGCCCGCCTTGGCCCCGCCGAGGGAGCTGCCCGTGGTGCGGGCGGCCGGGGCAGCACCGGGAGGCCGCCGCTCGCCGGGCAGGGCAGAGGCGGCCCCCGGGCGCCCTGCGGCGCTGCCGGGTGCCCCGGCGCCCTCCTGCCCCGCGGGCCCTCCCTGCCTCGCCCGTGAGCCGCTGCGCAGCGGCGCCCTTAGCTTTATTTTCCAGCCACTCAAGAAAAACAGTCATTAAACACAGCGTTGTGCTTTTTATCAGGTAACAATGACAAGCAACACACAAAAACCCGATGAGAGCAGGAGCAAACGTAAAAAAGAGGCCGAGGTGAGCCGCCTGGGGCGCGGAGGGGAGGGAAGGCCTGCACCCGGCGCGAGGTCCGGGGCAGGCGGCCAGCCCTGCGCTGCGGGCCCCTGCACTGACTGACGGGGCTCGCGGCTGCAGCTCAGCTCCTGGACGCTTGCACGCGCTTGTGTGCCTTTTCTCATGTGAGAACACGGCAGTAGTTCTCTCTTTAGAGATCCAGAAAACTGACCGTGCTCTGCAACACAGTCGTGCAGGGCTTCTTGAGAGCAAGGGGCTGAATTACACCAGCTTTCCTGAGCCAAAGTCTCAAAATGGTTATTCCCCTCACACTCACGCACCACTCAGGTGTTGTGGTGGCTCAGGATGGAGAACGTTGACACTGGGCAGCCAACAATACTTGCACTTTCTCTGAGTCATAGACTCATTAAACACTCTAGATCCTTTTAAAAATATGTAATTGAAGTCTGCCTGTGCTAAGCTTAAGACTTCAAACTTGTGTGTTCTTGTGTTCTCTGTTACTCCATTAGAGTGAAGTATCAGAGAATCTACAGTTGCCCTCCCTTGAAACATCAGATCTGGAATTTCCTGAGAGCTCGCAGTCCCTTTACAAAGCTGAACCTCTGGAAAAGGTTTTAAATGGTGATGTATCAAATACACTTTGAGTAGCTTATTACATTATTTAGATAATTGAATGTTGAGGTGAACTGATTCATTCAGACTCTTAAAAAATAAAATGGCATTTTTCTTTTCTTGTTAACAGAGATGAACAAAGAAATTAAGAACTTGCTATCAAAATATGCCCACATTTTAAGGCAAGTTAACTTTGTACTCTTTCTACAGCACTTTTCTAACTAAGATAAGTTGCTGTTGCAACTTTCTTCTTTAAAGAAACTATCACTCAAAACTCTCATAGACCTTGAAAAAAAACCTCCTTTGTTTTCTGTTACAGCATAGCATTGCTTTGTCCATAAACTGGGTTTTTACAGAGAACACATTTCAAAGTAGAGCATCAAAGCACATCTAAGAAGTAGTGAGAAAGTTAATGGCTTTGGTACTGATTTTAACTTCAGACTTTTTTCAATTAAGTGAGCGAGCAGCGGTGGATGCCTCGTATGTCCAGGAGCTTGATGAAATCTTGAGAGAAGCGAAAAGCATAGAAAACCACTTGCTACAGAAAAGGGAGAGTTTGAAGCAGAGATTCACAGTGATCTCAAATACTCTGCAAAGCTAAATGGAGTTTGTTAGATGGAAATCTGTTGTACATATAAAGCTGTACAGCAAAACTGTTGTACATATATGTACTGTGATATAAACTACAATAAATGCTACAATGTTTTATAAATAACTTCTTTAAATATTTCTAGCACTTCAAGAAACTGCCTACGACTTAAGTACCAGTCTGCTTTTGAAATAAATAATTGTATACAAGAAATAGGGTAGTGCTAGTAACAAAGAGTACTAAATATCCATCTTAAGTTCTGTGTTTGCCTGTGATTTTATACTTCAAATCATCTTTTTTTACTTTTCAACTCACTGCTTAGGCTATACGTATGCTTCCATCCATAGACAATAGTGAAGGGATTGAAAAGAAAGTAATAGCAATTTTGCATTGCTTGACTTCAAGGTTTTGGAAGAACAGTACCTCTGAATTCAGAAGCTGTCATGGTATTTCTAATGTGAATACTAAGACTTTTTTTCCCCTACTTTCACAACCAAACGTTCTCTTTATAAAAATACAGAAACACATGAAATATAAAAGATTGCTAAGTGAAAACTTCTGATCGTTTTCTATTAACCATTTTCTATTTTTTTCCTACTCTAGAAAATATTTTGGTGCCAAAATCTTAGTAGAAAACACTTGGAATCTTATTTCCATTTTTGTCTCACAGCATAAATAGCCTGAAGAGATCAGACTGAAGAGTTTAGAAATAGGAGAGTTCTATCACGAATATTATTTTGGGAAATGTACAAAGAGATATAAAGTATTAATTTGAAAATAAAATTTCATACATGTATAGTTTTTCTAATAACATGACGACAATTTTAATATAACCATAAAAGCGCATATTAAAAATTTTGCTGGTAATGTCCAGAAATGACTAGGTTAACGCTAGTTAGAATATTACTCTGCTGTTTTGCTACGTCATTTTTATATACCAGTATTGTTTGCTGAATACACAGTTCGTTTAATGATGTTGTGGAGTTCGTCGAGCCAGTTTTCTTTCTTGTCACTTGACTGGATTAAAAAGATGCAACATAAAAGATAGAAAGCTTTATCTGTACAAATTGTCAGGCTACTGTAATAAAGTGCTAGGCAGCCCTGCCTGTAGCATAAGCAACATTTATGTCTTTGAGTATTGGGAATTAATTTTCTCCTTACATCTTTTCAGATTTACTCAGTCCTACCTTTCCTCGTTAGCAGATAAAAGTCACCCCCGAATGTAACACCCATCAAACTGGTGCTATTTAAAACAAATAATTAGAAAAACTTGACATCTAGGGCGAGATTTTCTAGGGTATTTAGATATCTAAAGATGCAGACTTGTACTTAGCAGGATTTTCAAAGTTCTTTAAGCACGTAAGCGCCTTAGATGCTTAGGAAGTTTTGAAAATCCTGTAAGATGCCTATCTGCATCTTTAGCATTTAAGGACTTTTAAATATCTGGTCAGCAGTCTAAATCATATTGTACAGATTTTACTTGTTCCTAGCAAGTATATCTGTTTTGGAGACCAGTCTCGGGGATGCCATTAAAGTGTGTGAATAAGAAAAGATTTTGGAAGATACATTGTCTAGAATATTGCTTTGTTTCTAGAATAATATGCTATGGTCATTTATAGTAATCATCAAAAGCAGAAGTTAAAATGGTCATATGCAGATCTGCAAATCCAGGCAGCTTACCTGTAGTTATTTATGTAAGCACTGAAATAAAAACCAACCTGGCTTTCATTAGTGGTAGGCATCCACCTGTTTTCCCCAACTCTAAAGGGATTTGCCTCATTACATCTGCTCATGCTTAGCAAAATTATGCAACTCTTCAGATCATCTAGATTTAGATGATCTAGATTTAGATGATCTAGATTTATGTGACTAATATATCCCAGCTGCAAAACACTGGCTGTAGGATTAAGCGTCGCTCAAAAACAGAACTTAGAATTCCAACTACCGCTGGATCACACAACCCAAATTTCTTCCATTTGCGGACCGACAGAGCACAGGCTCCTGTTACTAGTGCACTAGTTTACCTTATGGAAAAAAAAAGTCATCAGCTCTAATAAAATTTAATAGAACAATAATTCTTAGAGGAATGAGGATCTGCCTTGGCTGGTGTTTAAGTGCATTTAAAGCCAAGCCGTAGCTCTTTAAAAGATCACTCCTGTTATTCTACCGTGGTTTCTTATGCAATTGGGATCTTTCTTTACATGTGAACTTCATCACGATATACGTAGACAGAGATGGGGACACTTATTGCATGCTGGTTTTCTTCTGGACCATTTCAAATAGGGTTTGGCTGTTTTCCCATTTAGCGGGATCAATAAGGATGTTTGTGCCTTGCTCACGTCTCTTGGGTATTGCAGTATTTACTGAGAGAAACAGAACCAAGTTGCTTACTCTCATCATCTGAAAGGAACCTAGCAGCTCTTTCATTCTGTCATGAGGATGAGCTATCCATGGAATCCAAGTGCCACTTATCCCATCACTATCCCCTTTCCAGTTTTAATGAGGGAGGTTTGAACTGAAAATTAAGTGGCTTTAAAGCTGCCAAATCTGATCAGTAAAGCTCAGCTGGTAACTACGTCCCCTTTAAGCTTCTCCCTCTTGTTGTTTAAGCTGCAGTGCCTTAGTAAATTAACAGCAAACTAAGATCAGTAAGCGAGTGTAAATGGACCTTAAAAAACAGCACACCCTTCTCCAAGACAAAGTTGTGCCATTCCTGAGGTCTAGGGGATTTTTGGCAGCGAGACTCTTGTGTTATTGAGCTTGCTGTGAGTGCCTCTGCAGTTCTGAAAATGCAAATGCTGACAAACTTCCTCTCGCTTTCCATGCATTGTGCAAAACTGAAATATGCAGAATAACAGATGATGCAGGGAAGGCTGAGGCACTCAGGGCGATGTCTTCCCCCTCCACATGGTTAACGGGGACTGTTTATTTAAAAGAAAACTGCCCCTCGGCAAGTATGTGAAAATGTGGGTCATAGCATGAGAAGGACAGCTGGAATATTTAGCTGATGTATGTGCTTGAGCCCGATGAAACTCATTCGAGAACATGGCAGCATTCAGTCTTGCTGATCTTAGAACCTTTTGGTTTTGTCTTTGAATTGCCTAGTTATCTAGTCAAGGGAGCTTCAGTAAACTGAAGGGCTGATCTGAGAACATGCTAAAATTCCAAAAAAAAAAAAACCCACCATGGGCACGGCGTGATGCTTGGCAGTGGTGAAACAAACATTTAGCGGTGTACGCTTTAACTGACTCGTGGTTTCAGGTGCTCAGTCCCTAAGCATGAAAAGTTAGAACAATTTCTGGGTTAACATTTAAAAAGAAAACCCCTTTGGAGATGGAAATGCTTAAGAAATGCCAAGTCTTCAACTGCTATCAAGATCTGAATATGTCTGTGTAGAAATCCTTGGCTCCTGTGAGGGGGGGAGAGGAGTGTGAACAATACAACTGGTCTAATGTTGTGCACACCGCGAGCCCCGTGCGCGACTCTTGGGGAGAGGCCCGTGCGGCCGCGCGGGAGCACCTGGGCGCTGATGGCCGGTGCCGCTGCTGCCCTGGGCAGCCGGCGCGGCTCTCGGCCCCGCAGCGGTTCGTGCCGTGGCCGCCGGCAGTGCAAACCGCCCGCCAGGCCGGGCCGCGCGCGGCTGTGGCAGCCTGCGCCCTGCGAGCCGCAGTGCCCTGAGAGCCGCTGCGCCCTGCCGCGCTCGCACCGCCTGCCCGGCTTTTATTCTGAAACGAGGCCGTCAGTCGGCCTTCGCCGACAGCCCCATCTGTGCGCGCCGCACACTGCTCTCCTGGCAGCAGTACCTTTGCCAGGCCATCTCGGATCCGATGCCTTCTTCGCGGCGGAACATGTTTTCCAAAGCCCTTCCGTCTGCTCTCTGGCTCCTGCTTGCTAATTTGTGGCATTTCCTCTGCTCCTTGATGCAATTAATTCCAGGTAAAATGAATAAGCAAAGAAATCCTTCTATTCGATCGTCCTGGAAAGGGGTTTTCTGCTTCCCTGCTTTTCAGAACTGCTGCTGGCACAGGTCGGTGGAGCAATTTTATTTCTAATAATCACAGAATAGGAATTAAACCAAAGCGTTTGTTTGAAGTCAGAAATTCTGTTGCTTATCAGAGAAGTAAACAGGAGAGATGAGTGCGCTGCACAGGTTCGCTCAGATTATGAGCAGATACTGATGGCTTTGTGCTGGAAAATCAGCAGGCAGCAGATTTTCTCTGTGTGGAGCCTGTTGGGAAACATGCACGGGGGCAGTGAGAGGGCCAGGATTGTCTGGAGCAGCAGCATCACTGGAGCTTTGATCTGAATGATCTGAAAGTGGGAAACTACCGCAGGGGATTTCATCCTTGCACGGCTCAGCAATTTGTTCCATTGTTGCACAATTTGATGTGCTGCTTTTTCTTTCCAGGGCAGTGGGGACCTCCTTTCACAAACTGGGGAAGCAGTAAAGATTGGGACTTAATTCACCCAAATCTCTTTCAGTTTCTCCCCCCAGCCCCCGGCATCGAAGGATGGCTTTGGCAGCATCCAAGGACCTGAGGAGTTCTTGAGCCTGCCTTCTTGAGCCAGCAGTGCATAGCCGCAGACAGAAACTTCAGAACAGTCCAGAAAGTTGCTTTTTAACCAGATTTGTTCCAAAGTTGGTGCTAGGCATAGCAGAGTAGCCATACCACCAGCCAGTGCTGCGAGATGCGAGGCATATTAGAGACAGGCTATTTAATACAAACTAAAGGGCAAATACTATGTCTAGCTTTTTGAATGTTATGTTGAATAACCTATTAGTATTTCAGGGCGTGATAAAATACTTTGGTGCTGGGGGAAATATGCCTTATTTATGTAGGTGTATGACATTCTGTGCCCTTAGCAGACTGCAAACCTACTCCTGCTTAAGCTGGGAATCTCCACTAAATTCTCTGGCATCCTACCTTTGTTGTTATACTTTGATTGCCTCTGATGATGAAATGCAAAGGAATTTGAAGAGCTGGGTTTCTTGATTTGTAGATATGAAGAGCCTAAAATTTCCCTGCCTTGTTCTTTATATCGTGATGGAAAATGCAGATCTTCTCTGATTTTTAGTG